CCGAAACTTGGACGTCTTCACAATGTGCCCACGATTGCATGTGTCAACCTTTCATCCCAGGAACACATTTCTTCTCTTATAAGACGAGTGGTTAAGAAAGAACTTGCTCAACTGCAAGCTGTGTACACCGCCAGTGTCTGGCATCAGTGTGCATTTGACCAACGGCCCCGTTAACCACCGGTACCTCAGATGCGTCAGACCTACTTTGAGCCTCGCCCGAATTACACCGATCGGTTCGAACGAAAGAGTGAACGACCACTCGAAAATCAGGTACGCAGGCAAGCTGCATCATGGCGATTTGCTCCTCACCTGCGATCGCCCAGCTTTTATCAACCAACGAGGTCTACTTCTACGGGGACGACTAGACGCGACACCCGTGTTTGCTACAACTGCGGGCTACCTGGACACATCGCTAGGTACTGCTACCGTCGCCAGCAGCGAGCTCCACGATTCAACGTGTAAACGCCCTATGTACCTGCTGGCGAGTATTGATCGACCATCAGGTCTCTTTCCAACGGCAACACGCAGCACGTGCTGACTCGCCTTGCTCCAACCGCAGCGTTACCCCACCACTCGCACGCCAACAGTGATCCCCGTCCCCGCGTCGCCGCTCGGGGACGCCATCACCACTGGGAAACTAACTGGTGCGATCAATGGGTACAAGGCCGCAAAATTATCTTTCACAAGACCCCCTTGTGGTGTAATGGTTGAGAACAAAGTGAGTGCATTTGTAGACAGTGTGCATTCTGCTGCACTAGTTGATACCGGTGTTGCCGTTTCCATATTGAGCATGTCTTTAAAAAATCACCTTGGGACGAAAGCAATGTTTGCTTGGAATCAGAGTGCTACGTGCCGCGGCGTAGGGAGAGAAACGTTGAGCCCATTTAGTGTTTGTTCTGTTTTACTTTCAGTAGGAACGCAAACGTTCAGAGCTGAACTAACGGTGCTTTCACGTGCGACCCACGACATCATTTTAGGTACAGATTTTTTGCGTGAATGTGGTGCCACTTTGCATTGTGGTAGTGGTGGGATTATTTTTCCTCCCGTGTTGCCCTCTCCATTGATGAAAGATATCGTTGATGACAGCTCGAATGTGTTTTCCGTGTCTGAAGACGTCTGCTTGGCCCCGGATACCACAATGTTTGAGCGCGTAAACTCTTCGCGTTCTTGTGCAGGTTCTTAGTACGGTTTAGCCGAGCCGACCTTCAGTAACACACTTAAGACAAACGTTGTTGTGTCTCAATGCCTCGTGCTCGCCGTCGATGGTTGTGCCGATTTGTGGACTGTGAACGTTTCCGTGCAACACACATCTCTGCCTGCAGGACATAAATTGGCAATGTTTCAAGAGCAAAGTACTCTTCCTACATGGTCACTTCAACTGGCGGTGGATGGAAAGATACCCCATGCCAACTCGTAGCCTGACAATTCTGCCAGCATTGACCGTATGATCAACATGTCACTTCCTTCAACTGAACGGTCACGGCTACAAGAGGTGATCGCAGACTACGCCTCAGTCTTTGACTTTGCCCAAGACGAGAAGACTACCGTCTTCACGTACGCAACACCGCATCTATACAGGCCAAGCGCCACCAATACGCCAGAAGCGCTAACGCGTATCGCCTTCCGAAAGGAAAGTCATAGCTGAGGAAGTTAAAGACATGCTAAAAAAGGGTATCATACAAGAATCGTGTAGACCGTGGGCAGTCCTGTCATTCTAGTCAGGCATAAAGATAATTCATGGAGATTCTGCGTGGACGATTGTCGCCTAAATGCCATCACAAAAAAGACGTCCACCCTTTGCCACGTATAGATGACGCCGTGGACTGCCAGCATTCGGCCTGCTATTTTTCTTGTGTTATTTGCATTCTGGATATTGGCAAACTCCTATACATCCCTCAAATAAAGAGTAGACGGCCTTCGTAACACCAGACGGTCATTTTGTGGTTAACGTTATGCCCTTTGGTTTGTGCAATGCTCCAGCGACATTCGAGAGATTTATGAATACAAGTACTCCGTGGACTAAAATGGGAAATTTGCATGTATATGCTATTTAAATGACGTGATTATCTACGGCAAGACTTTTCGAGAGCATAAGCACCGCTTGTCGCTTGTGTTTGAATGCTTACGCGAAGCTGGCCTTGTTTTAAACTCGAAGTGCCATTTTGGAGAACGTCAAGTCCTCGTATTAGACTTTCTCGTGAATAAAAAGGGCGTACGAACAGACCCACAGAAGACCGCAGTGGTTCGAAACTTTGAACAACCACGAACAGTGAAGGACCTGCGAAGTTTTCTTGGTCTGTGCTCATATTTTTGCCGATTTTTCAAAACCTTCTTACAACTTGCCTCCCAACTGACCTCTCTTCTTCATAAAGACACACCGTACTAGTGGGATGATCAATGTGAGGCTGCATTTCAACAGCTGAAGTTTTTATTCACTTCAGGATCAATCCTGAAGCATTTTGATCTTGATTCTTTGACTGAACTTCATACTGATCCTAGTGGGCCAGCTGTTGGTGCTGTGCTGGTCCAACTCTGTAACAGCTATCAGGACGTCGTAGCATTTGCCAGTCGGACACTGACCAGAGCAGAGAAGAAGTACACCGTCACCGATCTCGAGTACTTAGCAGACGTCTTCGCCATTCAGAAGTTCCAACCGTATCTACATGGCCGCGAGTTTACAATAGTGACCGATCATCACTCACTATGCTGGCTTGTGGAAGTTCGCGACCCGTCTGGGTGGCTGGCTCGTTGGGCGTTGCGCCTCCAAGAGTGCAGTTTTTCTGTGACCTATAAGAGCTGACGATGTCACACAGACACCGACTGCTTATTCCGCCTTTCTTCAGTACACACCAATGCTGATGACGATGACATTGATGACTATTTAGTTTCTGTCTCGTGCGACTTCCCAAATACCAACAGCTTCAAACGTGAGCAACAACACGACCCTACCCTGAAACCCTTGCTCGATGCTGCGCATAACTCCACCGACAAGCACTTTACGATTTTGAATGGCTTGTATAAGAGAAACTATTCAACCGACGGCCTCCCGTTGCTTCTGGTGGTGCCAGAAAGCCTGCGCCAGGTCGTTCTTCGTTCTATGCACGATGACATTACACCGGTCATCTCGGTTTCACACGTACTCTACATCGACTACGTGAGAGGTTCTACTGGCCAAAAATGTGGAAGACTACAAAACAGTACGTCACCAGCTGCGCTATATATGTCAGCGCCACAAGCGATCCACCTCTGCCCCGGCAAGGTATTTGCAGCCCATCACTCCACTGAAATCCCCTTTTGAAAAAGTCGGCATTGACTTGCTCGGACCCCTTCCTATAAGACCCCATCCGGCCACCGATATGTTATAGTATGCGTGGATTATTTAACTCGGTATACGGAAACGGACGCACTGACATCGGCCACAGCAGCCACTGTTTCTTCTTTTCTGTTACAACGGGTCAGACTGCGTCACCGTCACGATGCTCCACGCGTTGTCATCAGTGACCATGGACGTCAATTTATCGCCGTTGTGGTTGAAAAAGTTTTGCCCCTCTGTGGCTCCTCTTATCGCCACTCCACCTCTTACCATACGCAAACTAACGGTCTCACTGAGAGAACAAATTGAACTCTTACGAATATGCTATCGATGTGCGTTGATGCTGACCACAGGAACTAGGATGCCATCTTACCTTTTGTTACTTACGCGTATAACACCGCCAAGCATTAGGTTACTAGACATTCGCCCTTCTCTCTGATTTACGCACGAAATCCACGGAGATTTCTGGACACTCTATTACCTTCTCGCATCAGGAAGATTTTTCCATCGCTCAGACGTTGTGTCATGCTGAAGAAGCACATTGTCTTCTCAAGAACACAGCAAGAGTCACTGCGATGCCAAACATATCCCCGTAGAGTTTTCTCCTGGTGACTACGTTTGGCTGTGGACTCTTGTTCGTAGAAAAGGATTGTGCCGGAAGTTTCTAGCAAAACTATTCCGGCCCATTCGTGATAGTCACTCGTCTCAGTGACGTGAATTACGTTGTCGCCCGAATCACAGCCAATAATCGGCGTTCGCGCACTACACAAATTGTTCACGTAGCCCGCCTCAAAGAGTAGCATCATAGGCTCATTTACCTTGCTCCGCGAGCTTCGTCTGCCGCCAGGGTAAATGCAACAAAGATGCGCGAGCCTACGGGGCGCGGAAGAAGAAGAAGGGTAGTAGAGCGGCACTTAAACTGTGTGGTTGGGTGAACCGGACTATAGGCCTGTCTCAAAAGTACGCTTCTCTTTCCTAACGCCATTTCACCTCACCTGTAAATAAACACAATCACTCGTAAATATATATATATATATATATATATATATATATATATATATATATATATATATATATATATATACTGGCTTATCTCAATACTTTTGGGGTGCTGCGAATAAATGAGTGGCCGTCACGCGCATGCTTGGCATGACCCTGGCTTTTTTCGCACAGATTGCTCACCTTATTTTTGATATATATATAGGAGTTTTGAATGCTTTCAACAAACTCTGAAGGGCACACCAATTATTGATATAGATATATACGGCTGTATAAGTTACATCTCGCGACCACATTTATTGCATGGCTTGCCGACTGGCAGTAAAGGTCAGGGAATAATGGCTGCAACTTTCTTAAGAAAAAAACATGTCAGAAGGTAATAACTGGTTTCAAAATATCTGTTGAGGTTGTCAATACTAATCGGTAACCAATGCTACATACCCCTGTCATGCTGCAGCACATGCCGGCGCTTTTCGAGCGTTTCATAACACGAATTTGAAATTGTGCTATACCTATCTCTGCAACCTTGTGGCACACACATTACGCTTGCTTATGAGAACAGTAACCTTATAAGTTACAGTTGTGGTTTCGCGTTATTAGCAAACGCATAGTTCATCGCACTACCGACGTGCGGATTATCACAATAAAACTACGTGACGCCAAAATTTGATTTTACTCTTTCTTTCAGGTGACGGTGCACAAAGACTTGGTAAGCCTTCTTTTTGTTTACAATTTTGGCTTAAGCACAGTTATTTAACACTTGAAATGATGTGCAACACGCCCCGCCGCGGTGGTATAGTGGCTAAGGTACTCGGCTGCTGACCCGCAGGGCGCGGGTTCGAATCCCGGCTACGGCGGCTGCATTTCCGATGGAGGCGGATATGCTGTAGGCCCGTGTGCTCAGATTTGGGCGCACGTTAAAGAACCCCAGGTGGTTTAAATTTCCGGAGCCCTCCACTACGGCGTCTCTCATATTCATATAGTGGTTTTGGGACGTTAATTCTCACTTATCAATCAATCAAATCAATGATGTGCAACATGAACAAACGTTCTCTAAACTTCGAAAGTTGGCCTTGTAAAGTGACCATGCATGTAGTTTCCGGTTCATTTCATCTGTATGTTTGTACACGAATTTCTTCCCGTAAACACAATGTAACTATTGACATTGCTTACACGATCAAAATTGCAGAGAAAAATAAGAGATGGAAACACCCGGAAATAAATATTGGACCGAATTTTGTGCCGCATGAATCCACGTTGCAACCATTCCCACAAAACTGCGCGCCATGGGCGCGCGCAGCGTTCTCATTTAGCGGAAGCCTAGTTGGTCCATCGCGAAGGAAACCAAGCTGCGCAACAAATGTAAAAATGAGATGACGTGCTTGTCGCCTGGTTTTCTTGCAATGTGGCATCAGGTTGCCCTTATCGTGACTGGTATGTTTTAACGTACACGACTAGGGCTCCTTGGTGCACTCGTGTGTAGGGCGCAAGATAATTCTGCCACCGCAGCCATCTCGGCACTCATGTCTGTAAGAAAAATAACATCTGCGAATTCCCATTCAGCATTTTTTTCAATGTCTTTGTGAGTTGTCTGCGTACCGAATAATACTGAACTATTGGCCTCGAGCACATACCGTGGCGCCGTGGTGCCACCTACGTCATCGCATCACTTATAGGATGCTGGCGTGTGTTGTCTGCTGGATCAATGCCTTTCATGCGCTTTCGAAACCATGTGTTTTTGTTGTATTGTCGAATCTGACAATCAAACCACGAGCAGGTACCCCGCCGATGGCATCCACGTGTAGGATGGTAATAATAATATTATTAATATATGGGGTTTAGAGTCCCAACGCTACGATATGAATAAGAGAAACGCCGTAGTGAAAGGCTCAGGAAATTTTAACCATCTGGCGTTTTTTAACGTGCACTGACATCGTGCAGAACACGGGCCTTGGAAATTTCATCTCCAACTTCTATATAAGCTACAATTGTCGCTTACACCCGGTGTAACTGACACCTTAGAGGACGAGACAACTGCCGTCATGAAAGCTAAGCTGCTAATACGTTGTTAAGTACTTTTCTGGTGATACTTCTCAGGATTTGTTTGAAGCGAGCGAATAAACTTGCACAAATGAGGGAAACGTGAAGTTAACAGTAATACCACCCCCGCGTACGAAGCAAATGCAGACCTCTCGACGAACACTTGAGAGTGGTCAGGGGAGTGAATCGCTTGATATGATTAAAGACGTTGGTGAAATTTGCCAAACCAAGAGGCCGTTCCCTCTCTACTACTCATTTTCGTTGTGCTATCGGATCTGATAGACGATCGTCACCATTTTCATCGTTTTTTTACTGCTGATAAATTTACTTTCACATTGGCTTACATGGTCGCGAGCGTACCAATTTTAGTTTTAAGCGCCTTCGATAAGATCGTCAATGTGATAAATCTATGTTTCATAAGAACGTCACCATGACAAACACGCGAGTGCTCTTTTAAAGACGATAGTCTTTTTGTGAACCCTCGATGCAGAAATTTTGGTCTGTCTCTTTGTCCACCCTTAACGGTACCCTGAACGGCAGCAGACGACCCCTCGAACCGCCGACCCAATCTGCAGTGCCCACCAATATTGCTCAATTGATTGATATGTGGGGTTTAACGTCCCAAAACCACCATATGAGAGACGCCGTAGTAGAGGGCTCCGGAAATTTCGACCACCGGGGGTTCTTTAACGTGCACCCAAATCTGAGCACACGGGCCTACAAAATTTCCGCCTCCATCGAAAATGCAGCCGCCACAGCCGGGATTTGAACCCACTATTGCTCAAGGTTCAGCGTTCATGCTTGTGCGATTGTCAGTTAAAAACAATTATTGCGCATATCTGAGGCACCATAACAACACGTCAATATTATGTATGTGCGTCTCTTATAAAAAAGGCATACATGATTAATTGTAAGGACCATAGCAACTCACCTTGCAACGCTTGCACGAAAACGCAAGTGTTTCCAACACTTTGCTAAGACGACACGGTGGAGGCACCTACCCATCGCCTTGCGTTCTACATACACTTTGTCACCTCCGAGACAGGCGCGCAGGGCGCGCGCGCTTTGTTTTCCAAGATTTTGTCACGTTCAACTCACCTTGCAACGCTTGCACGAAAACGCAAGTGTTTCCAACACTTTGCTAAGACGACACGGTGGAGGCACCTACCCATCGCCTTGCGTTCTACATACACTTTGTCACCTCCGAGACAGGCGCGCAGGGCGCGCGCGCTTTGTTTTCCAAGATAACTGCCAGATAGCGCTCATGTCTTACGTCTGAAGTGACTTGATGCGCTCGTTCACGTCCGCTGCACGCTCGAGGCACTCTAACGCAGTGCCTCCAGAATACCATTCACTGACTTTTTTTTGCGCAGAACATCAAATAAACGTTTTGTTCACTCTCTCCAGACGCAAGATTATCATATTTCGACGACAATTGCCGTGAAACATGTACAAACGCGACATTTTTTTACTTATGTAGTTAACATAGCGTGCAACTGTCGTTCTCCACAACCATCGATAAACGCGCCCGATGAGCTGCCGTGAATGCTCGTGAGCATACAGGTCAATTGTTACCGAACATGTTAACTGCAGCAGCGTACGAAACTGCCGTCTTCAGACCCCCGTTAGTGTTGGCGCCTTTTCCTTATTTCAGTTTGACCAGCCAAATTTCGCACGTCACTTTTTGCATTTGGAGTATTGATGAAAACTGACAGAGGGATCTGTGACATGCCTCTCACGCTGCAACCAACACTGCACCAACAAGCTTAAGCTACTTGTAGTAAGCCGCGATGCTGCGGTTACGGTGCTGATCCAAAGGTCGTGGGTTCGATCCACGCTATGGTTGTTGCATATTGGTGGAGGCAAAACTTTGGAAGCCTGTGTACCGTGTGATGCTAGTGCACGTCAAAAAACGTCCGATGGTCAAAATTTTCGGAGCCGCCACAGCGAAATCCTTCGATGATGTCATGGTTTTGGAACGTGAAATTTCATACATCATAATATTATTAGCTGCTTCCACGCAACTGGATTATACGGTGGTAATACCTCCGGCAGGCGAAATTAAGCTTTACACTTTGAGAATTAAATGCGGTGCACCACACCCGAACGTCGCGTTCCACAACTAAGCAGCAAGGCGAGCAGGAGCATTTTATCTGTAACTACAGTGTCTACAAAAATACTGCCTAGTGTGCTGAGCGCGGGCGAGGAGATGGCTCCGTCGCCGATGACTGCCGATGGGGCCCGCTTGGTGCGGTCTGGCGCGAGTGGGTGCTGCGGCGCGAATGGGTACATCTGCGTTCAATCCGCGCACTCGGCAAGCGCTGCGAAACCTTCAGTAGGCCGAGTCGCATGAGGCCAACTTTCAATTTTTTCGTATTTTCGGAGAGTTCTTTACAAAACGCTTAATAAATACCTACGTGACAGCTTTCACAGTACACGTATTTAGCAATATCAAATGAAGATAATGTCTAACATACACCTCACCGTTGGCTGCCGCCCACAAAAAACACAAACGCACACGCACAAACACACGTGCATACACACGCACACACACGTACATACACACACACACGCACACACACACACACCTACGTACACACACACACGTGCACACACACACACACACACCTACACACACATACACACGTGCATACACACGTACGCACTTATTAGGTACAAGATGGGTTGGGTAATTTGTGAACACTGTAAGGACAGCATCAGGCTTCAGGCGCTGCTTCTCGCGGGTGATTTCATTCACGACAGCGGTCACTGTAATCTGAAAAGATCGTTCGATGCAGTCACTCTCAAAATGTCGTTCGCAATCAAAATGTCGTTCGCAAACGACCGCCCTCGGCGTCAGCCTTTTGTCTGCCCTTTTGATCCTCCTTTGCCATTCTGCAAGCCGTGCTGGGTCCATCAGTGTGGTGAACAAAGATACCCTTTCGTCGTTCGACCAATAACCGCTTCGACACAGAGGCACAAAATATGTCCTTTCTTTGCATTGCCCCTTAGCCTTTAACATCTCGGTATATTGCTGCTCACACCTGGCGAAATCGAACTTCACAATACGACAGATAACAGCTGTCAAACACTTATCTTACTCGTAGCGAGGCTCCGGCAGCAAATGGACGAGAAAACTTCTTCGCACAATCAGGCACTCACTCGACTCCCAGCGCCGCTTGCGGCAAGTGAGCGCAGTCATGACTTGTCAGACCACCCTCCGTCATACGAAAAGCGCGCGCTAAGCACACTAGGTTTTATTTTTCTAGACAGTGTACTGTAACGTCGAAACAATCACAGCGCTGGCCTCTCCTGTGGAGGCCCTCGCGGCCCACGAACATCCGACACCTTCAGCCACACTTCTTCACGTTTGTTTAAAAAAAAATCATAGTTTCACTATCAGTGAATTTGACAGCAACATATCGCTATAATCTACAAACTGAGCTCGGCGGCTAACTCTATTTATTCCAATATGACGTAACTGCACAAATGGTGTCAAAGAATGCAGCCGCGCCAGGGAAAGACGCTGTTTTTGCGCAGTTTGTACGCATTGATAGCGCTGCCTGTATAAGGTTATGTCAGCCGGCCGCTGACGCCTTCCAAGACAGAGCGTGCGCCAGCGATAATGGGCGTGCCCTCAGAATGAGAGTTCGCAGTGGTTGCTCAAGCACCCCCCCCCCTTCCCAATATTTCTTCATGCTCGTTAAACACGGGCGGTGCATTTCTCTTTCATTAAGCATTCAACGGCAGGTTTAACACGTAGGGTGCTGTTATCGCATTCGCCCTCCCAGCGATGGAGGTGTGCCAGCTCGTTTGACCTCTGCTTTAGCTACTTCCATCGCCCTCACCTGCGCGCGCTTACATGCGAGTTAGCCATACGATGCGCGGAGCTGTGTTCACTTGCACCTTATACGTGACATGGTGGCGATGGCAAGGCGAAACTCGCCAAGACTGTGATTATCATTCCTATCTAATACAAATAGGTTCGTTTATTTCCCCACTTTACACACGCGTTGAAGTTCATAAGCGAATGGATCATTTTGCATTTCTCATTTGTCTTGTAGTAAGGAACACTTTTTTCAGAGCGAGACTGGTGCCGCCGAGTGTCGTTTTGTTCAGGCCGTGACCAGCAATGCGAGAAAACATACATATGGGGCCTACTTACCATGAGTTCGTCCTAACTGCTTCATCGTCCCATTTGTTCGCACTTTGCATTACGGAAATGCCAACTTTGAAAAATGACGCTACACCCCGGGGCAACTTTTAACGTCTAGCGTTAAAGAGCTCGTGTCGCGGAAAATGCGCCGCCGGCGTCGGCCCCGTTGGTTGTGAGCGAAAAATCATGTGTGCGTCTGTGACTGAAAAACCAAGTTACTGAGATAACCGTAAGAGGCCGCTACTTGTCCACGCGTGCGCGCTATCACACTGAGAAAGCTGCCTATTCCAAAAAAAAAATTCTCAAATTCACGAGGCGCGGTATTTTCTTTGCCCTGCCACCCCTCTTTGCTTAGCTTCCAGCACTTTCTTCGGGACGAGGAAAGGGATATAGCAATTGCAGCATGCGACAAACATTTGTAACTCCACTCCCACTGGACGGATTCTTAAATTTTTTGCAGTGTTGAGTTCGTGAGGCAATTAGCTTTTGTGAATTCATTCTATGGTTACTTGAAGAAGTGTTTCAGGGCCGTTTTAACGCATTTGGTTCGACGGGTGTCACGACGAAAACGAGCCCATTCGGCGATAATAGCGCGCACTGGTCCAAACTACTGTGTGCGTGTTTTTGTGCATGCGTGTGTATGTAACAAACCATATGAATAAGTATGCACTTAGCGCTTGAAGGGTGCACTGAGGGCTAAATTTCGCTATCGCGTTCAACTCTTAAAGGCAAAGCTTAAAGGGGTGCTGACACAAAAACCTAGGCCTCGCAGTTTTCTGCTGCAATGCGTTGCTGGGGGCCTGTTAGTCATGACACGACACATCGTTTGCTGCAGCACGTGACAAATAATTCATTACACGTCCCTCATTATCAATCAGTTTCAGTTTTGGTTTGAGGGAGTTCCAAAAACTGGGTGCAACTGTCACCACCTAGCGTGTGCAGCTCTTGACCACGTCAGCACAAGAAACTGTGATGCATATCCACACGGTCCGCATAAAGAAATACTTTCGAATAGGACACGTGACTGGAATGTCGCCAAACACAAAGCTTTCTAAGCGTGCGCCACGGGCACGCTTACGCAACCAGCTGTAGAGAAACATAGACTGCGGGAACTAACGCCGCGAAAGAGAAATGGCGGCTATGACGCCTTCTTAACTTGTTTTGTTGACCATAGCGTGGCGACGTGAGGGAAGTAGGGGGTCACATCGGGGTCTCCTCCGGTGGTGTCTATAGCGCTATGGAGTCGGTCGCTCACAAAAACTTCAAAATGAATTTGAATTACCTTCCAAGCTATATTCGCTGTTGATACACTTGCAGATGATATACGAATGTTCACGAGAATCGACCCCGCAGGCTGTCTCGGCACCAACATTTTGTGTCAGTACCCCTTTAAGGGTCCCTCAATTTTTCTTGGCAGTGCTGTTGAAGTTACAGAACCAAAACACATACTTGCTAGTGCACCAAGAAATAGTTCCTAACTTTATTGATAATTTTTATTCGCCTCTCTCCAATCGACGCTGTCCTCTTTATTACGAAAACTCAAACAGTTGTGGGTAGTCGAAGGGAAAATAATGTTATTCTTTATATCATGATAATTTCTTCCTATTTTCTCATATCTCAGACCATATGTGCTCGCCTGTTTTCCCAAAGTGAAAATGGCGTCCAATACGAGGCCCATGTGTGGCCAAAAACTCACCGCTTACTTCTTTAAGAAAAACGATGTACTCTGAGTTAGGCTAATAAATGCACACTGATCATTATGAATGTTTTTTCTTCATATTTTTTCTTGTGTATACTTTCAAACGCATTATGACAGCGTGTAAGCAAGGTCATGCTTCAATATGAACTCAGCTTCTAGCTTCTAAAAAAGACAAGTGTAGCACAAATGTGCCGAAGCCTGTAGCCTTCACTCCACTGCCAAGATAAGATGTCCGGGATAGGCCCCGTGTGCCACCCCATTGCTCTTCCGTTGATGACACTGATCTATGGTGGACATGATACACCGTTCGAATGAGCGTTCCCGAGAGCTCCACAAACATGGTGTCCGTTCCAGGGAAATGAGAACTTCCGATACCACGCAAGCTTCGAATTCGATGGAACGGGGAAGACGTCGTCAAGGTACACTGCCCTTATTAACGACCTCGAGCCTTGGAAACGTTATGAGGTAACGCTCCAGGGATGTTCTCAAAATGTCTGCAGCGACTCCGTGAGCACGACGTTCGACACTCTACCAGAAGGTAAGCCTACACACGCGATAACATCGAGGCAACGCTAACAAGGAACAATAAAACAAGGAAAAATTGATGAATTTATGTCGCACAGCTTGAAGGGAGCATTTATTTGATATGAGAGTGAAAGATCGCAGAGCGAAAGGTAGGTAACAACAAAGTCACCAAATTTCTGTGCAGCTGTGTTGCGTTCCGTTTACTGTACAACCTCATGGTGGGAGCCCACATATGCAAATACAAAGTGTGAATAGGTTTGACGAGCAGGAAAAGTGATAGTGTCTCGACAGCAGGACCTGTCTTTGCCAAAGACACCTTGTCATCTTTGGCGTATTGGTTTTAGGCAGGTTAATGTTGATGTCACGTCCCACATCTTCAAGTGTCGTTGTTGGTGATCGCTGTCTGAAAATAAACTATAAAAGGAGATGAGTGGGACACTTTCCCCTGTGTGTACTAAGCTTGTTACGCCGGCCAGCCCACATGAGGTGCTTTCTCCTACCCGTTCAGCCTACCCAAATTTTGTGTACTGTGTTGCATTCGAATATTTGTGAGACTGGTTTGCCAGGTTACATTTATTTATACCGTGAACGCAACAAAAGGTCAATATACGAGTGGAATGCTTATAGGAGAGAACAAAAAGAAGCCGGTGAGCCTGTGAGCTCGAGTGTCTGTTAGTGGTAAGTTAGAAGCCTGGCGTTTCTCATTTCAAGTGTGCTGACAGCTTCAAAAAATGAAAAAACAACGGTAGTAAGTGCGCAGCACAGAACGTTCGACTAGCACTATTGTTCAGATGGCAAACTGTTCTTTGGTTACCAAGACAAGCAAGCATAAGCATGTGTAACAAGCTTTCACTTGCATAACCGAGCCTAGCAGAACTTAGCCACGGCATTTATTTTTCTAACAGAATTTTCCAAACACTTTCACGGCTGAACATTCACTTGTGTCTACTTAGTCGAGATACACCCGTGCACTCAACAAATATCTAGTGCTACTTAAGGCAAGCGTGCGCTCTTAACTTTACTTAAAAACCATGAATGCCTATACTTGTATTTTAGAGCCACAGTAGTGTGTAGTAATAAGTTCCAATTATTCCCACTCCTATGAGAAAGCTCAGTTCCAAGTGCTCGGTAAACACAAGAGGTGTGTTAGAAATGTGAGTTACTGTGAATTGACTTTAGCATCAGCGCCAGGCGAAGATAAGGACAACTGACCAGGTGAAAAAAATCTGACCTGAGGATTTACCCATTGAAAAAAAAAAAACATGTAACTCATAAGCTTCACATCGCTCAAATAAAATTGCTTTAAAACACCCCTATACTTACCACTACCCTACGACCTATGCATCCTACTTTTCCCGCATAAAACCATGCATTTATATTCACAGATTTCTTTCAATGTATGCGCCTTCTTCATTCGTGAAAGCCAGGGACCTCCGTCGCTGGCTGGCACCGACAAAGTCATTATTTCCGTCATAAGACATGTGTGCACCCCACCCACTGAGCTCAGGGAGCAGCGGGGTCAGTTGCACTCTGTACCGGTGCTGTGCATTTACAAAGGCCTATTTTCTCAAGAAGGCAGAACTGACGAGCGTCGTTTCCGTGGTTATCATTACTCCAAACAAAACCCTCCAAGATGTGCCTCATGGTGAATGCACGCAAGATGCTCGAGCCGGTGACAGAAAGCATGTCAAGCGTTTTATTGGGTGCATTGTTGCAGCGGTTTATTTGAGTCTCTTGTCTCGCGCTGAGTGCCGCGTTGGTCAAAGGGGTCTTTGTTTGGAGGATAATTTGAGGGAACTCCGGGCCGCTATCACTGCTGGTGGCCACTTTCCCCAACACTGCTGAAAGTGTACAGTGCAGTTTCTTTGCACTCATATGCTCAGGCGGTTACGGCAGCAATCAGACCGGGAAACTTTTAGGCATTTTGCACCGGAAAAGCGGGAGATGAGTTTGTAAGTTCTCTTTCGCTGGAAGTCGCAAATAAATACTGTGCATACCTTGACAGCAATCTGCACATGAATTTGTTCGGCTAGGTTCGGCATGAACAAGTTGCCTAGGCATGCGAAGTATGGAAATTATGATTATAAGAGGTACCTATAGAATGATCGTTTTCTATGTAGCACAGCTTCCTGCGCATCTTGTGAATTATATGCATATTTTCTACGAAGAAATATTCGATTCAATATGGCGAACAGCGCAGAAAACACGCATGCACACGAGTAGGGGACACGGCACATTATCATGCCATGTGCACTTCTCCTCTGCGACTGCCATGTTAGCCACAGAGAACCTACGCCTACTCGTTTAGATTTCCATCCTACTTCAAACCAAATTTAGCGTTGCGTCTCATTAGTTGTTTCACCTTGTCCATCGTCCTTTTTAGCGCTAATTATGTCTGAAGTCAAGAACAAGGAATATCCATGCTGTGTCCATGCCTGAATTGTGTGTTTGGCTCTAGGCTCAAATATTGATCATTTAGAAAGTTGTGAGATTGGGCCAGTTTGTACTGCAAACTACCGACCACCGAATACGCTCGCGATGTTATTGCCCGCGCTGACCACACCGTCAGATTGCCCGCAAAAAATTGGCGGCTTCTCAACCAACGCAGCAGCGTCGTTACGATGAGCGACATCATGACGAACGATTTTCAGAGGGTTGCTGGGTTCTTCTCTGCTTCCCAACGTGATGTGATCGCCTTTCTCAGAAGCTTTCTGGTTTTATGGGTCACACCCCGTGCTCCAAAAAGTGACGAATGTCATGTAAACAACTGTGCCGGATAATCTAACAACCTCGTCCACTCTGTTATACTGTGACATCGTCCACATATCAAGGCTCAAGCGTTACTACCCTCCTTCGGCTGTGCCTCCTTGGCCCAAACGCGTCGGCGCTTTTCCTGTTGGGGGTTGTGTTGCATGGTTTTCACCGATATTTGCAGTGCATAGTGCAATATACCCTGAATGCTTTCTAAATAGAAGGCGAAGGAGTTGACGTTCATGCATGAGTCATACTGTGGCTTGCTGCTAAGCAAGTGTTTTTGCCACGTCAAAATATGCAGTGTATTAGCGAAGGAAGAAAACAAAGGACATCAAGGGACTCGGACAAGAACCAGTTTTCAGCAGAAATTTATTGAGAAACAAACAATATATATATATATATATATATATATATATATATATAAACTTGAAGGGAAGGCACGACAGGTCCGGGTATTTTCTATATTGAATTAACTTGCAGATAGCACATAGGAAAAGGATCGTATTTACTAACGTTTCGGCCGTGGCACGGCCTTCGTCAGAGTAAGTAGGTATGATACAATGCAGCCGCTTTTATAGGCTCACGTGATGAACTCTCGGTATAGCAGCTAAGACAATCAAAGTAAAAAATGGTAATCTGTCAGAACCTTGTGTTGACATGACTGACATGTGACGGGTGCATGAATATACAAGTTTCAAATTTCCTTGCGCATCGACACGTGGGGCACAGTATGGTTGGCAGGACATGTAAAAGAGCTCAGAAGTAAAGAAAGCACGGTTGACTAATATTCAATTTAATATACACTAAAATATTTTTCTAATCTAAGAAGTCGTGTTGTTATAGTGCGAGGCAGGTGAGCTTTCCTGCGTTTTCATTGATACCTGAACGAGTGGTGTTAAATTTGTGGATCAAGAAGGATTCCCTCACTTCCCTATCGTGATTTGTCTTGAAACCAGACTGAATAATAGTGGCCCTAATTTTGTCGAAACCATGGCCAGGCATACTGACGTGCTTCGACAGCGGTACATTAGGGAGGCTTACGGCATGTGCACGGTGATTATTAAAACGAATTCTGAAACTTGTCTCCGTTTGACCTATGTACTGAGCACCGCATGTTGAACACTCGAGAAGATAGATGACGTTGATACTATCACACGTGTAGTTCCCATTTATCTTTAAAGAAAAACTGGACGATGTACTTGAAACTGTTTTAGATGTCGTCATGTGCGCGCACACTTTGCAACGTGGTTTGTTGCAGGGATGACAGCCTTCATGATGTGAACACGTGATTTTAGATGAGGTTAGTAAATCACGAAGGTTCCGCGATCGTCGGTAGACCACGCGTGGTTGTTCTGTAAAGATTCCTTTGAGCCGCTCGCTCTGTATTAAAATGTTAAAATGTTTCTTTAAGATATGGTTCACATTTGGAGCTGAGGCCGCATGTGTCTTTATGTTGGGACGGTCGATGTGGCTTCGAGTTCGGGACACGATGCGTTTGCAAAATACCGCGATCTACTTGAAAGCATTGCAAAAGACCGCCCAGAAATTCGGCGAATTTTCGCCACGCTGATACTGCCTAGAAGTGGAAACCGTCGACAAAGGAACTGTAACCTGACATTCGTCCGACGCTGCAACAGGGAAGCATCAGTGTTCAACAACATGCTTCGGAATTTATGCTGCTATTCCCGGCTAGTTTGCTACCTCGATCATGAAATCGAATGGTTACCACCCACACGCGTCCTCGCAGCAGACGGCCTTCATATGAGCTTCGAGGGTGTGTCGTTGCTTGCAAGCCACATCCGCCACCTGTGCTTCAGGAGACCGGTGGATGCGACATCAGCTGCCTGGTGCGATTCATCAACGAATGACGACTCTCCGCATCGAGTGGATCGAGCTGGGCGACCTTCAGCACCCAGTCATCCTACAGCACAGCCGAACTCAAGAAACAACACCACGCCGACAGCAACCTTCACCATGACGAGCAAGCCTTCCGTAGCAGAGAACGTCACCTCGAAAGCATCGCGCGCCCACATGAACAAGTCGCAATCTACACAGCCTACGTCTAGCCTACCGTCGCCTGCGGTTGTTGCATCACTTTCGCCGTCTCAACCACGCTACGGACTCCGGAACAGGGGCACAACCACGAGAGGAACCAACTGACTAACACAACGCCAGCTGGGTGAGAGTACTTTATCTGTTGGCTCAATGAATTTTTCAAGAACCAGGAAGGTTATAGAAAAACGGACTCGTTGTGAATCG